GATGCTCCAGGTACGGCCCTCTCCCCTTCCCTTCCGTTCCCTGCGGCGCGGCGGCGGCGGCAGGAACACGCTGGGCGGCTGCGGCGGCGGCAATGAGCTGGGCGGCGGTGGTGGCGGGAACGAGCCGGGCGGCTGCAGCGGTGGCAGGAACACGCTGGGTGGCGGCGGCGGCTGAAAAATGTGTGCTGAAAAATGCCCCCTCGGCTTATACGCGAGTCACCATTTTTCCCCAGTTCTTTGTGGCAAAATTAGGTGCCTCGGCTTATATTCGGGTCGACTTATACTCGAGTATATACGGTAATTCATAATTTGCTATTCATATAGTCCTGCAGTTGCAACAGTAATAGAACCTGCCATTATAGTTGATAGTTGAGAGGGCCGTTAAGTGAACGTCATTGATGTATCGTTCATTTTATAGGTTCTATTATTGTACTTTTGTTCTATTTACACTCCTTTCATTTGTTTCTTTTTATTATTGTAAATCACCTAGACTAGTCCCACAGTGAGATAGCTGGCAAATAAATTTAACAAATAAATTGAATAAACCACTTATCTTAATGAGCTATTCCTGCTCTCCCCAATGCATTCCTTAAATAAATACACAGGTCATTAAGTGGAGCATGAGTTGCCTCAAGGGTTGGGGAGACTCTAACCTGCCTCAGACCTCCCAAGGCCAACTCCCACCCCTTGAGATATCTCATGCTCCTCTTCCCTCCCCTTGGAGGTCCCCATAGCCACTTGGGTCTCCTTCCCAATCCCATTACAATCATACACTTAGCTTTTCGAAGATCTCTAGAGCTTAGGAGGTCAGGGTAGGGAAGGAGGGACAGGCCACTCTGTTGCTGTACCATATGGCACAATCCCACTAGCAGCCACAGTTTTCTGAGTGAAAAATAACACTGGTGAAGCTCTTGGTTTTCCTTTCATCTACCAATGCTAGATGCTAACCTAAGTTCCCCCAGCATTAGTTAGATGCTAGCCTTAGATGCTAGCCTAAGCTCCCCCAGTATTACCTACGCTAGCTTTACACTAGCACAGCTACTGCTAGAGGAGCTGCTAGGGTAGAGAAGGAAGGCACTCCGTTGCTGGGCCACATTGCACAATCCCACAAATGGCCGTTCTTTTCTGAGTGAAAAATACCCTGGTGAAGCTTTCGGTTTTACTTTCATCACTGCAAGCTAGCCTTAGCTATCCCAACATTAATAATGAAAGAAGGATTTCTTCTCCTCACTAGGGCTAGGCTTAGCTTCCTCAGCTGTAGCTGTACTAGTTTTATGCTAAGTCTAGCCCTAGCAAAAAGAATCCTCCTGGTTTTCCTTTCATTGTTAAAACTGGGAAGCTAAGGCTAGCCCTAGAGAGAAGGAATCCTCCCTGGTTTCCTTTCATTGCTAGAGGCTAGCCTTAGCTTCCCCAGCGTTAGTGATGAAACCTGGGAGGATTCCTTCTCCTTGCTAGAGTTAGCCTTAGCTTCCCAGTTTTAACAATGAAAGGAAAACCAGGAGGATTCTTTTTGCTAGGGCTAGACTTAGCATAAAACTAGTACAGCTAAAGCTGAGGAAGCTAAGCCTCGCCCTAGTGAGGAGAAGAAATCCTTCTTTCATTATTAATGCTGGGATAGCTAAGGCTAGCTTGCAGTGATGAAAGTAAAACCGAAAGCTTCACCAGGGTTTTTTTTTCACTCAGAAAAGAACGGCCACTTGTGGGATTGTGCCATGGGGCCCAGCAACGGAGTGCCTTCCTTCTCTACCCCAACCTCAGTTATGGAGATCTTCAAAAGTTGAGTGACCGATGATGGGAGAAGTGGGGGGTAGGAGCAGCGTGTGCTGGTAGGGTTGCAGAGCAGACTCAGTGCCTCTGGGGACCCGGTTGGGCAGGATGGGCAGAAATAAGTGGTGGGCGTGGTTGGTGGTAAAGAGTGAACAATTGCAGGACTGCTGCAATGGACGTAAATTCAGGACTGGGTTGTAAGCACTTTAAAGGTGTCTGTCATAACTTTGAAGGGTCGCTAAGTGACCTGTCGTAAATCAAGGACTACTTGTATCCAGAATAATTACTTAATGATTTCTGTGAATAGATTTTGCAGATATAGTACCCATACACACACCTACACAAACATACATATATATATTCGTATTGAAATGATTGTCATACTGTTTGCTTTTTCTGTATCATATATGAAACTTAAGGTATCAGAGGGCAAATGCATACAATATTTTGTTGACTGCAGTAGTAGTTCTTGGTCTGAAGAAATTGAAACTGTATACAGGTAGTCTTTGACTTACAACAGTTCATTTAGTGACTGTTCAAAGTGAAAAAAGTGACTTATGACCGTTTTTCACACTTATGACCCTTGCAGCATCCCCATGGTTATGACCCCATGACACTTGGCAACTGGTTTATATTTATGATGGTTGCAGTGTCATGGGGTCATGTGATCACCTTTTGCAACCTTCTGACAAGCAAAGTCAAAAGGGAAGCCAGATTCACTTAACAACTGTGTTACTAACTTAACAATGGCAGCGATTCACTTAACAACTGGCAAGAAAGGTTGTAAAATGGAGCAAAACTCACTTAACAATTGTCTCACTTTGCAACAGAAATTTTGGGCTCAATTGTAGTCGTAGGTCGAGGACTATCTGTATGTGGCTGTGTCTCACCTTCAAAGTAATAATAGGAGTAGCAATTTTTCCTAATGTTCAATAAGAAAAATTGTATGGTTTCATTTGTGATGCACTTATTGCCTGCAAAGGATCATTACAATATTTGAGTTTTGAATGATTCAGTGCTTATTGGTATACTCAAATTCTTCTTGGAACATAGGAAATATTTAAGATTACTCCACAGTAAATATATTTTATTTCATGAAAAATAATGTGGAACTGGTTGGATTTAATAGAAACGCTTCCTGTTGGACTATGGAACAAAAAACATAAATTATAGCTGTTTGTTAACCATACATTTTTCTCTTCAGTGTTGTGACAGATGACAGTTCAGATAATTTATTGACCCTAGAGAGTCATTTGTAATTTATGTAAACTATGGCAACTGGCTCAGAACACAAATCTCCTTGTAACAAGCTTTTAATATATATATATATATATATGTATTTTCCTTCTTTGTCAAGGGTCGTAGTGGATTTGCTGAGAAGAATGCAACTTGTGGCCGAATGGTTTGTGATGTAGAAATTTCAGCAAAAGAGTTGATTCATTGTAAAAGTTACCATTTGTCTGAACTTGTCAGTCAGATTTTAAAAACAGAAAGAGTAACGATTCCAGCTGAAGAAATCCGAAATATGTACAGGTATGAGTCTGGATCAGACCTGGGCATTTTACAGCCCACAGGCCACATCTGGCCCTTTGGCTGTCTCTGTACGGATCTGTTCTGTCCCCGTCTGACACACACACCCAAACAGCCAGCCGAGGGTTAAATAACTTCTCCACACTCCACACTACAGATAAGAAACTTGGCAGCAGCTCCGTAGCTGCCTGCCAAGGACTTTTACTCAGAGAACAAAAAACAATACACACAGTTTGAAATTAAGTCCACAGCAAACTACTTCGCCAGAGATTTAGCTTTGTCCGTCACAGAGTCCAAATGGCCACCACCTCCATTTTATAGCCTGTGGGGTGTGGTCCAGTGACTCAGCTTAATCTCTGGCACGGCTCCTTTTCTGCTGCGCACGCTTGTCGCGCCTACGCTGGCGTGGATCCAGCCACAACGTATCTTCATCACTATCCGAAACACCTGGCTCCTGGCCAATCTCAGAAACACCTGGCTCCTGGCCAATCTCAGAACCACCTGGCTCCTGGTCAATCTCTTCTCCGTCGGGAGACACCTGAGGCATTGCCAAAGAGGAGGGTCCTGGAGAGGGAGGCCTGGCCATCTCCTCCTTCATGTTCGGAGCCTTCTTCCTCCGATAAGAGGGGCTCACAAGACGGAGCCACAACAGGATCCCAGGGTGGCAGTACCTTTCCTCTACAACAATCCCAGTTTCTCATGTGGCCCCTTGGGAAAATTAATTACTCACCCCTGGTATGGATATTCATCATAAAATCACCCAGCTGTGAGCAGTGGATAAAACAATGATTGGCTCAAAAGGCAAAGCCACAAGCATTAGCAGACATGAGGAACCTTCTAAGAGATGTTCTGACTTTTGTAGCAGTTTCCCTGTGGTATTTGAATGTCTTAAGAGCAGGGGTGTCAAACTGCCGGCCCACGGGCCGGATGCATCATGGCAAAATTGTGCTCACCCCCATTGCCGGCAATGGAAAAAAAGTCACGATATGTCACGACACCTCATGTGACGTTGCAAGTTTGACACCCCTGGTGTCAAAGGAAAAGAGAAAAACTGACTGGAGGTAGTAACTTTTTGATTGCCCATTAATGTCATTGGAGGCAGGTTTAAAGCTATATCAGTCTGTGTGAGGATAGTCCTGAGGGGAGTGGTTACTGGAGGAGAATGGTAAATTACTCAGAATTGGGATATCTTCCTGAAAAATAACTCTACACACTTCCATAAAACTTGACAATAGCTTCCATTGGTTCAAAAGAGCCTTTTTAAAATTCTTGTTTCTTGGCAGTAGGAATATCTACTAGCACTAATAAAAGTCTTAGATAAAAGTAAGAAGAAGATCCCTTATGAACTTTTTGCTGAAAAAAAATGCACTTGCGTTTTATGGATTTGATTATTAGGAAGGGTAGATTATGGAAAGAAGGAAACTTTGATGTAACCTTAAAGAAAGTATAAAATATAAGTGTATTATATTGGAAATCACTTTATTTATGTTTTGCTTTTTTCTTGTTTTCTATCTCTTTTTTCTTTATTTTTTTCAGTTTTCTATTACTTTTCTTTGTTTTTCTTAACATTAACTTAAAATTTGTATTCTTTTGTTGTAAAACATATATAAAAAAGTAAGCAGAAGATCTTTGTGTCTTGATTATGTTCAAGTTTATGTTAGGGAGATAGTAATACTTTTATGCAGATAATTTTACAGACAGTTTCTGAATAATGTTTTCCTTGTTTAGGGGTTCTCTTAGTTCTCCTAAATTAAGAGAAGTAACTATTCCTTCAGGTGGCTGAAAGTGATATTAATTTTTTTAAAACTGGGCTTTCATTAGATTTTAAGCAGCAATTTAGGTTTATGTATATTCACAAAAAATATGTGGGAATTTATTAAAATTGCCTCTGTCTCTCTGTCCTCCCCCCCCCTTTATTGTAGTGATTCTCATCATTTACTTCACATGCTAGAAGAAACATGGATTGATTCTAAGTATATTTTACAAATTATGTGTGAACTGAATGTTCTTCCGCTAGCCTTACAAATTACAAATATTGCTGGCAATGTTATGGTAAGCCTTTTGTTTTTTAATTATTCAGTCATCTCAATTATAATTCAGTTGGATGTACAGTCTCATTTATGAAAAGTAGTTTATTTTTAGTAGGATAGATACAAATGAATTAGAATAGCTTGGGCATTACAGTGCATTTCTGACACTAAAGGAATTTTTTTAATGTAGGATGGTTGACTGAGCCAGATTAAGTTAATATGTTTGTTATTTTCTTTGTTTTGCTGAAAAGAATAGAAACAAAATGGCAAGTTAGATATTTGAAATACAGATGAAATAATACCATTTTTGACATTTTAACCTGTGTTTTAAGTTATTCCACGTGGCTCTTTTTATTTTTTTATTTTTTTCAGTCCAGGACACTGATGGGTGGACGAGCTGAGCGCAATGAATACTTGCTTCTTCATGCATTTTATGAAAAAGATTTTATTGTGCCTGATAAACAGCTGTTTAAAAAGCAGAAGCATGTAAGTATTGTTTCTAGATGGTTTTCATTTGCTGAAAGCTAATCAGATGTTCTTGATAATTTAGTCAATTAATAAGTATTAGTTCAGACTCAGTCTTGAACATTGGTACTCACTTGTTTGAGCTCATCATATTTTGGCTACCACTACAGTTTACTGTATCATCTTTCCTGAACCATTTAATTAATGACTTTGGTGTGGAATTGTAGGAAGCCAGGGTTTCTAGAATTTTTAAAATAGTCTGAATATGTTAATCGATTCCATTTTATCATATAGACCTTTATTAGCGAAACAATCTTCTTTTAAAAATATTTCTTTGAATGTATTTAGCTAGAATTAGAGTTTACATTTTGTCCTGTTCTTATGTCTCATAAGTTGGAAGAAGATGAAGATTTGGAAAATGATCAGAATAAATCAAAGATAGGACGAAAAAAGGCAGCATATTCTGGAGGTTTAGTTTTGGAACCAAAAGTTGGTAAGTTTGAGCATTACATCATGCATAGTTTTATATTACACATATGTTATATTTATTTAATAATATATATTAGGATGTTTACAGTGGTTGATTATATCTTTCAGTGTATTAGTGTTTATGTATGCACAATTCCCCATTCTGAAGAACCCGAAAGCTGTATCTTTGAGATGAAGAAATTACAATCTTTCAAATAGTGAAATACAAATAGTGAATTGGCACTTTTATTGCTTCATATGTAGAGGTTGGTATGCAACCACTGAAAATAGATTATTTTAACTGTTGCTTAAATATGGGTATATAGGTAAAGTCTGCTTTACCTACCTTTTTTTTTTTTTTTTACTAAAGCAGGCGTATCCAATTTGGCCCAGGGGTCGCATGCGACCCTGGGTAACTAGTAATGTGGCACTATAAAATTGTAAACTTTTAACATTATTATGTGATTATATATTTTATATGTGGCCAAAGACCACATATATCAGGGGTGTCAAACTGCCGGCCCATGGGCCGGATGCGTCATGCCAAAACCGCGCCCACCCCATTGCTGGCAATGGAAAAGTTGCGATACGTCGCGACACGTCATGTGACGTTGCGAGTTTGACACCCCTGACATATATGAAGAATTCCTCTTCACTCAATGTGGCTCAGGCAAGCCAAAAGAGTGAACACCCATGCTTTGAAGAATCTTAATAAAATTAACAGAGCAGAGTACAGCAAGAAATTTTATTATTGGACATTTCTGTAGAGTTACATATTATAATAGAAATTTGTCTTCTTGTTTTAGGTTTTTATGACAAGTTCATTTTGCTTCTTGACTTCAATAGTTTATACCCTTCAATTATCCAAGAGTTTAACATCTGTTTTACAACAGTTCACAGAATGTCGTTCAGTGTGCACAAAAAGACAGAGGTGTGTGCTTAATATATTTTAATTGGTGATGGTAAAATAAATGATATGAGATCAAGAATGCATTGATCTCCCATTTATTATTGTGTATGGTACTAATAATTATTAAAGTCTCCTTTTTCTCATTTTAATATTCATCTTTATATTCTATATTTCTGGGTGTAAAAATGTTGTTTCCATATTTTCAATATTGATGTCTTTATGACTGATATTCCTGTATTTTCAGTTGTATTTCTCTAATTTTCTTTCAATTTCCCTACATTGCCCACTTTCCTTTAGCCTGTTTCAGTTTTTCTTCAGTAACATTACGTTTTCTCTGACAACTTTATTTTTTAACACTTTTTTCACAAATTCTGCAGGTTCCTTAGAAACAATTGCTTTTATTTCATTCATTACTTCCTTACATTTTTCTTCTCCCTCCTATTTTTCTTTCACTTTCTTGGTTTTTTGAAGGTATGGTAAAGTGATAATTTTCCCTGTAGGTGATCCTACATTCGTTATGGCTTTTTCAATGTTAAGATTAGCTATTCTGCAGCAGGGATGGTGTAGAGTCCACAGAATGGGTTAATTCAGTCTTCCTGCTCAGCAGACTAAGACAAAAAAACTTTGCCACGCCTCTCTCTGGGTGTGTCTTCCCAGTTTTTTGTCTTAGTCTAGAGCTCAGCACACGTTTTTTTGCAAGGCTCCTTAGCTAGGCCAAATTAAATTTGTTATTCTCTTCAATTGAATATAATTAAGATTGAAATTTCCAAATTTTCTTTTCAATAATTGGCTATTTCCAAAAAATTTTTTATTAGGTGAGACAAGGATTCTGCCTTGTCTCCCTGCTGCCCCTCGGGGCTCGAAGGTGGGAGGCTGCAAGCTCCGTTCGAGGGAGAGTCGAACGGCAAGCCTCCGCGATCCCGAAGCTCGGCTGAGCTGAGGAGATCGAATTACAGGAGAACTCCGGAGCTTATTGCTTCGGAGAGAGAGCGTTTCCCCCGGTCTCCGGATTGCTGAACCAGCTACGCCTTCAGCAGCAGGCTTCTTGGAACGTTCCTTGCCTCCAACCTCTCTTCGGATCGCAGCGGCTGCTGTGATCCCAAACGCAAGTTTTGGGGAAAAGGGGGGGAGAATTAAGGCTTTTCCTTCCCTCTCTTATCCTTGCCCAGAACTCTTGCAAAGGGTCTTCAAGCTTCCCTCGATCCTATTTTGACGACGCTGAATCTCACGGCCGCCATTTTGACCGCGTGCTTTTAGCGAGGGCGCTCCTTTGCTGGGCCACGTGGCGGACGCCATTTTGAAGGCCGGATTTCACTGCTTACTCCCTTATCTACAAGGGGGATTGCACATAGGGTCACGTGAGGGAAGTTTTTTTGCAGGCCTTATTCTAAAGAATAATATTAAAATCCTTCTTCCTCTCTCCTTATTAAAACAAGGGGTTATTTACAAGGGCTTCCTGGCTAGGCCATTTTGAAGGCCAAATCGGTTTCTACTGTATCATTGCATTGCCTGAGTGCCTTGGTCTGTGAGCAGGCCTGTGCGGGGGGAAAAAGTATTTGTCACAGTTACCGCAGGTGCTGTGCACTTATTTTCTACTTTTCTGATTGGGACTTAACTGCATTGAAATACTCAAGGTGTATTTTCTGATTTTATTTTTAAGAGAGAGGAGGGAAGTGATCCCTGTTTGACCACCTGTTTCACTTAGTTGTGACCTTTAGTCACAGGCCTGTACAGGCAGTATTAGAACGCTGTCTGGCTGCTCTTGCCATTGTTAGCTGTTCAGAGCGAGGATCGGTTTTCCATCTCTGGCTGCGTGATCTGCGTGTTAATTTTCCCCCACCTCTGGGTACGACTGCCTAGGAGTACCCAGACTACAATGGCAGACAGTTCCTCGCCCCAGGCAATTCAGACCAGTGTCCCCCCTGCGCAAACAAAACGCAGATCAGAGGAAGTAGCAGTGGAGGGGAAAAAGAAAAAAGCTAAAACCAAACATTTAATTACAAAGGAAGTGTCTAAAACAGCCGAGCGAGAGGCCTCGAGGAGGCACCTAGCATTGGAAAGAGAATTCTCTAAGGCGCAGAGGCTGAGGTCCACTGGGGCTGAATTGGTTTCCCCCTCCCCATTGGATGCTCCTTCGCTAGAGCCTCATTTTGCATCATCACAGGATGATCCACTATCTCTGTCTCCTCAGGGGGAAACTGAGCAGGTTGGTCCTCATCATTCCTCCTCCTCTTCTCTGTCCCAGCAAGCACCAGTGAGCAGACGTGTCCCAACTGGGGTTGGGGCCAGCTCCAGGGATCAAGAGGAAATGTGGTCCCAGAGTCAATTCCAGGCCTTTATGCATCATGCATTCAAGCAGTTTATGGCATCTGCCGGCCGAGACCAGGAATAGTCACATTCCTTCCCTACGACACCCGCTCCACCCCCCCAGGAGGGGCAGTATACAGGGCCTCGTTCTGATGTTTCAGAGACTTCATCGCAAGTAGGGGAGGGGGGATCATTCGACATAGAGGCAACTGACAACATATTGTCAGAGGATGAGGAACCAGCTCCTGAGCAGGTGACATCCTCGGGTCTATTTGATCCTTTCATATTCCGGTCCATCCTATTAAAGGCCATAGCCACGGTTAAACTCACCTCGGCTCACGAGGAGACACCTTCTACCTCCTCTAATCAAGAGACCAGCCCTCTGTTTGCAGAAAGGGTCAAGGAGGAGCCTCAGATCCCATGTCCTTCGGTGTTTAGGACCTTGGTGGAAAAGCAGTGGTCGTCACTAGATTCCACGCCTTCTCCAAGTAGTCTGAATAAAAAGCTCTATAACGTTTCCTCTTCCTTTGCATCTCTTTTAGAAGTCCCAACTGTGGATGCCCCGTTGGCTTCTTTGTTCTCCAACACTGCTGTTCCAGGGGACATGGCAGAGTTCTTAAAGGCGGAGGACAAAAGGTTTGAGTTCTCATGCCGCAGGGCTCACCAATCTTCGGCTTGGGCAATAAGGGCAGCCACCTCATCCTCCTTCTTCGCTCGTGCTGCGATCATGTGGCTACAGGATCTTCAGGCCCTCATTCCACCAGATCAGGTCAGAGCTCACCAAACTCTAGGCAAGATTATAGCTGCTTCAGAGTACATTGCTGATGCTTCTCTGCATTCGGCCAGATGCTCGGCCCGTTCAGTTGCTGCCACGGTGGCGTCACGCAGACTTCTCTGGTTGAAACAGTGGCGCACGGATCTAAAGGCAAAATGGCGCCTGTCTACTTCCAGGTACAGTGGAACACATTTATTCGGCGCGGTGCTTGACCCTCCTGTCATTGAGGGCAAGGACAAGCGAAAAATCTTGGTCCACCCATCCAAGAAGTTGGATAGGCGTCCCCAACTCGGTTACCGTAGGTCATCCTTTCGCTCCGGTGACTCTTGGGAGTGGAGGCAGCCCTTTCGGGCAGGGCAGTCCTGGGATTGGCCCAGAGGCTCACGGTCCTATCTTCCTAGGCAGGATCGCCAACAGGACCGCCAAGGTGGTGGAGCCAGGGGTCAGTTCCAAAACAAGCGTCCCTTCAGGGGCTCAGGCGGCCGGCCATATAGACGGTCCAAGTGACGCCAAGGGGGTTTGCCCCATTGGGGGTCGTCTGGCTCTGTTTTACGACGTCTGGGAGGGCACTACCACGGACGCCTGGGTCAGGGAGACCATAAGACACGGTCTCTCACTAGAGTTTCAATCTTTACCCCCAGATCGTTTCATACAGTGCCCGGTTTCAAACAATTCTTCAAAGGCTTGTTTAGTGTCAACAGCAATTGCCCACCTATTAGACATCAGGGCCATAGAAAGGGTCCCTCCAGACCAGATAGGAACCGGATTTTATTCCATAGTGTTTGTGGTCCCCAAGGGGTCTAAATCGCTTCCTTATCTACAAGAAATTCAAAATGCAGACCCTAAAGTCCATCCTGGCAAGCATCAGAAAAGGGGACTTCCTCTCCTCCATCGACCTGACGGAGGCCTATCTTCACATTCCAATCCTACAGGAACACCGCAGATTTCTGCGGTTTGCCTACGCACACCGGCATTACCAGTATCGGGCCCTCCCCTTCGGTCTCTCCTCAGCCCCCAGGGTCTTCACAAAGATCTTGGCCGTACTGGCGGCTCATCTAAGGATGAGGCCAGTGCGAGTACAGTGTTACCTGGACGACATACTCGTGCAGTCCAGATCCCTCCGCTCAGCCCAGTCAGATCTGGAAATCACAATCCGGACTCTTCAGGATCACGGTTTTTCCGTAAATTTCAAGAAGAGTCACACGACTCCAACAAGACGGCTTATCCATCTAGGAGCGCTGATAGACTCAGATCTCTGCGAAGTTTATCTCTCCTCAGAGCGCCAGCTCAGCATTCGGATGCTGGCTCGGCAAGTCCGAAGGGAAAAATGGGTGTCCCTGGTCCGACTTTCACAACTCCTGGGGAAGATGGTATCTTGCCTGGGCATCGTTCCGTGGGCCAGGCTTCACTCCAGGAGCCTCCAGTGGTTCCTCCTCCCCTTTCAGAGACGCAACATCAGTGCATCCAAAACGAAGGTCAGGGTTCCACACCTAACACGGGTTTCACTGCTTTGGTGGACTTCATCCGCCCTATCCAGGGGTACTCTTTTCAAGGAACCGACCAGGATCACCCTGACCACAGACGCCAGTCTGTTCGGTTGGGGGGCACATCTTCACAATCACTTGGCACAGGGTCGGTGGTCCAGGTCAGACCTGGTCCACAACATCAACTGGCTGGAGCTCAGGGCCATTCACCTGGCCCTTCAGGAGTTCTCACCCCTCGTCACGGGGAAGCATGTGCTGGTCCTGACGGACAACATTACGGCCAAGGCTCACATAAACAAACAGGGAGGGACCCACTCTTGGTCCCTCATGCAGGAAGCCATGGCATTGGGACTTTGGGCGGAGTCCACTCTGAAATCCATAAGAGCGGAACACATTTCGGGGGAGGAAAATCGACAGGCGGACTCCCTGAGCAGGGCCACCATAGATCATTCGGAGTGGAAACTAGATCCACTCTTGTTCAGGGAGGCAGCCCACAGGTTCGGACAACCAGTCCTAGACCTCTTTGCCTCCCCGGCCAATGCTCAGATCCCAAGGTTTTTTTCCAGATTCCTGTCAGAGCGGGAGGAAGGGACGGACGCCCTCCGGAGCGTATGGCCCAGGAGCGTGCTCTATGCCTTCCCTCCTCTTCCACTGCTCCAAGCGACTATTCGCAAACTCCTACAAGAGCGAGTGGAGCTAATCTTAATTGCTCCATTTTGGCCGCGTCAGCCGTGGTTTGCAGATCTGGTGGACCTGTCACTCTCGCCACCGTGGAGAATCCCTCCGGACCGAATAGCTCTCAGTCAAGGGAACCTCCAACATCCGGATCCTCAGTGGCTCCAACTAGCTGCTTGGCACTTGAGTGGGAAGGTCTAACTAGGTTAGCATATTCCCCTGGGGTAATATCTGTTATCCAGGCCTCAAGGCGCCCATCAACCAACAGGATCTACGATGCCACTTGGAGAAATTTCTGCTCCTGGTGCAGGCTACAGAATCTCTCGCCGCTGTCTGTTACTATCCCACACATATTAGAATATTTACTTGAGGGACTAAATAGGGGCCTGTCAGTTAGCACAATACGTAGACAGGTAGCGGCGTTGTCGACAGTTCTCACTTGCGAGAACCATGATTCACTGTCTCACCACCCAGCGGTTGGTGCTTTCCTTAAGGGCGCTGCTAACACAGGTCCTCCTACGATCCATCGTTACCCGTCCTGGGATTTGACCATGGTACTACAAGCGTTAACTTCTTCTCCCTTTGAACCTTTAGGTTCATGTTCCCTACACTTCCTCACCTTGAAGGTTGCTTTTTTGGTGGCTATTACATGAGCCAGGAGGATTTCAGAGCTGGCTACTCTATCTGTCAGGAAGGATCTCTGTATGTTCCATGAGGACAGGGTGGTCCTCAGGTTGGATCCTACATTTATTCCTAAGGTTAATACTGGTTTTCATCGTTCTCAAGACCTGGTACTCCCCAACTTCTGTCACAACCCTTCTCATCGTCTGGAGAGAGGGTGGCACACTTTGGACGTGCGCAGGGCTCTGCGTCACTATCTTAAACGTACCTCGGCCTTCCGCAAATCGGAGGCCTTATTCATCTCTTTCCATCCTTCTACGATGGGGAGGAAGGTTTCTTCTTCCACCATCGGACGGTGGATTAGGGCCTGTATCACGAAGGCGTACGTTTCGCAGTCCCTTCCAGTTCCTTCTCAGGTCACGGCTCATTCTACGCGCAGCGCTGTGGTCTCTGCAGCCTGGTCTACCCAGGCCTCGCTTGAAGAGATTTGCAGGGCGGCGACTTGGTCGTCCCCCTCTTCATTAAACATTATAGGATTGATAGGTTTGCTGCTGCGGATGCGGCCTTTGGGCGGCGGGTTCTGCAGCAAGTCGTTGATCCTCATGATAAGCAAGCCTAGACTTCCCTCCCTTCAGGGACATGAGCGGCTTTGGTATGTCCCATTCTGTGGACTCTACACCATCCCTGCTGCAGAAAGGGGCGTTGTCTTACCTGAACGCCTTTTCTCAGCAGGATGGTGTAGAGTCCATATCCCCCCCTGTATCTTTTTGGTCTAGGCATGAGGTTTTTTGCCCTTTTTTCTTTGAACTTTGGTTTGGAGCCTTGCGTCTGGATTCTTCGCCTCGACATGTACCAAAAACTGGGAAGACACACCCAGAGAGAGGCGTGGCAAAGTTTTTTTGTCTTAGTCTGCTGAGCAGGAAGACTGAATTAACCCATTCTGTGGACTCTACACCATCCTGCTGAGAAAAGGCGTTCAGGTAAGACAACGCCCCTTTTTCTGTGAATAAATATCTAAATCACTTAGTCACAAAGAGTTAATCTTAATCCATATCACCAATTAAATAAAAATAATCTGAAAATTTTAAGAACATATTTATAGAAAAAAAATATTTGATCATTAGCAACAGAATTTATTTAGGTAAGGTTATTTTATTAACGGTGGATTAAATTTGCACAAAATAGTCCTGTGCTTAAGTGTCCTGAACTACAAATGTTACAAGCTTGAAATAGCTGTTCCGAGTACTCTGAGCAATGGCACCAAAGCATGTATTTTGGAGTTTTTTCCAAGGCTCTGGACAAAATGCAGCTTTTTCTTCTATTTCTTTTTATGTGTTCTGACCTTGCTCAGTTGGCTTTAAAAAAAAAATCCTATAAGATGTGAAAAGCTGAACAGTAATGAGACAATAAAAAGTTCAAAAAGTTCCATTGCTGCTACTGTTAGTAGAAGGGAAGAAGGTAGGTGGGATGAACGAGGAGAAAAAAGGAGGAAAAGGTTTTGTAAGGAGAAAAAGAAACAATTGCATCTCTTTGACATGGTACCAAATCTACAAGAGATATAGCAATTTGCGAGTTACTATTCCAGATTTTATAATTAACAAACAACTGATCTGGGAAAGATTGAAGAATGTTTTAAAAAAATACAGAACAATTAAAAGAATTTCTTAATCTACAATTGTAGATGAGAAAAACTGTCAATTAAAACCTGAAGTTTAATTAAGTGCCAGGATCTTATGGTACTTCTGCAATATATTATATGACATTTCAAGAAATTTTGGCTAAACCTTTAAATCAGGTAATGAATGAAATTCAGAAGGATGAAGAACTTCCCACAGAAATTGAATTATGTTGATTTAGAAAGATTTGACTCCTCCAAATAATCAAAATAGGTATTTTTTTGGCAAACCTACATTGTAAGGTCTTTACTGCAAAACACTCAAAGAGAATAAATGACTTTTTAATAAAATTGATATATCTTGACCAGATCAGATTTATTTCCAAAAGATGGATGAGATACAATATTAATTATATTCTGCTGTTGACAAAATTTTTTTTAAAAAAACAACAACACAAAAGAGGCCATTATTTTTCTTGATGTGAAAAACACTTTTGGCAATTTGGTATCAAAATTTTTTATTAGTTTATCAGAATATAAAATACAAAGGAAAATGAAAATAACAGGAAACTAGTGGAGGGGAAAAGGGAAAAGGAGAAAGTGTGAGATAGAAGGGGAAAAAGAAAAAAAAACTGTTGACTTTCAACTCTTTTTAGCACAGTAGAAGAAAATAAACATTAATGGCCTCAACTATAATAATATATAATATTAATATATAATATACTGGACATTTCTATAACAACAAACCTATTTAATCAGTAAAACCAAAACCGGTTTTTTCTTTATACGTAATGCTTGAGTAATTACTAAAGCTTGTAAAATATTATTGAAAGTGTATTTGAAAGTATGCTAAGAGGAAGTTAAAAAAGATGTATTAGAATTTATTGATTTTACTAATATTTTTAAAGAAAGGTTTAGAGTTTTAAAATGGATGTAAAAAAGTTTTTTTCCCTTTAAGGTTAAAGAATCTGAAAGAGTATAGTGAATTTTGCTAATATAAATGATGATAGTCTATAAAGATTAATAAGTGCAAGCAGAAATATAAGTATATTATTTTCCACAAGAAAAAAAGTAGAGATGGTTAAATTGATAGCTTTATTCAAAGAAAAGTATATATCTAATTTTGTTTTTATTTGGAAAATACTTCTGGATTTTGTGCTTCTGATGGAATCATGAACTTGACAATTTGGAATGGTCTTTCATGCTTGCAGTTCTGAAAAAGATGAATTGCAACTCCAGTTTTTTTTTTACTTTATCTTACCTTGTCCCTTCAGTATAGTGCACTGTTGACATTAATTTTGATTTTTATTCTTATAAATGCTCTTTATCCAAGAAAACTTGTGAGATTTAAAGTATTTTGGTCATACTTATATGTCAAACTTATTATTTCACAGGATGGTGAACAAGAAGAAATTCCCGAATTACCTGATTCATCTCTAGAAATGGGAGTCTTGCCTAAAGAGATTAAGAAGCTTGTTGAGCGAAGGCGTCAAGTGAAACAGCTGATGAAACAACCAGGCTTACATCCTGACCTTTGCTTACAGGTATAAATCTCACTAATTTCATGGTACAACTTGTTTGAATGCTTGCTTTGAATACAGAGTGGGAATATTTGCTTTAAATATTATGTCTTGGTAATGAATATGTATTTTCTGAACCAAAGTTTATTGATATTAAAGTAAAAACTAGTAATTAAAAAGATTATTAATTTAATTGGACTGTCCGATTAAAACAAATGAGGCTTTTTATTCTTGATGAGTAGCTTCCTATTGATAAACTCTTATAAACTTTGATCAAGAGGGAAATAATGAGAAAATAAGAATACATGCTTGTTTTCTAAATAGAACTTCAAAATAAGCATTAGGGAATACCCTTTGCAGATTAATAAAGATATTTTTTTCGAATATATTTAGAACAATAACTTATATTCAGTAAAACTCCAATAATGTCTCTTTCTGACATCCATTAAATAATTTTAATATTTGTTACTTGCTCTTACAGATCTAAAGAATACAACTTAATTTTTTTTTATCAAAGAGAAATCATTTAGGCTTCAGTAGGCTTAAAGGGAACAAAATAAGTTTGTAGAGGACTTTAAGAAGACCTTTCAAAATAACCATTAGTTGAAAGAGTATTCTCTGACATCACATTTTAATCTCATGCAGTTAGTTATACAGAATTCTCATTTTAAATAGGAATATATCATTTTTAGTCCCCAATCTAGTATCTTCCAGATGCTTAACACTGCAATTCTTATTTTTCCTGTCAGCATTACTATGCTATGGAATTCCATATTTACAATCCCAACAAATCTGAAGAACACCAAGCTTGGACAGGTTGTTGTACATGATGCTTTGATCACATGAATAAAATTTTCAGCACTGTATTTTACAAACATACATATATAAACTCACACATTTACTTTACTTTACTTTACTTTACTTTACTTTACCTCACCTCACCTCACCTCACCTCACCTCACTTACTTTACTTCATCCATCCTATTTCTAAACCACCTACCTCCCTTCTCTGTGGATAATCATGGTTCTGATAAAGGAAAATATTTGTAGATCAGGGTTTTCTTGCAGATGTTTCATTACCCAAACTAGGTAACATCATCAGTGCAGTACCTAGTATTACTTAGTTTGGGTAATGTCTGAAAGAAAACAATCAAGCTCAGAGAGCAGCAAGGATACCTCAATTGTGATTCCATTTGCTTCTCAGAAAAATATCCAAGGATAAATAACAATATTAAAAGAAGCAAGAAAAAATATCCATTATAATGTCAATAAAATCATTTGTTGAGAATTTAGGTTTATATTTTGATTGCTTTTCAAGTCCTCCATTTTATACCATTTCAAATCTCTCTGTGAATACATAGCTGTAGAAAAAAAACATCCTCACTCTTAATGAAAGAAGATCTGATCAGGTTCAGAATAAAATTGACAGTATAAGGAACATAGAGTTTTTTAAAAGTTTAAGATACGGGATTTCCCCAGAAAGTACAGTGATGACATAATGGCATATAAAATTGACAACGGAAGAAAAACCAAAAATAGCTGGCAAGAGAGGAAGAATGGCTGTGAAGGGTGAAGCGAGAGTCTTTGTTTCTCATTCTGAATGGTTCCTTACCTACTTTACAATATGCAACTATTTGGAATGTCCACAGGGATGAGTGTCAAAATTGTCTAAAGACCAGATTGGGAGAAATGTAATATACTAACAATACTGGAGCAAATTTATTCCTGCCCTCCAAAACACCGCCAAAATTGGATCAGGAAAGATTAATTATATATGATCATTGACAGTGAAATGCTTGCAATATTTTAGTGTGAGATACAGAGAAAAACAAGCAAACAAAAAATAAGAGTTGATAGAGGCCTTCCTGCATAACAATATACAGGTAGTCCTCGACTTACGACCACAATTGAACCCAAAATATGTGTTGCTAAGTGAGACATGTGCTAAATGAATTTTGCCCCATTTTATGACCTTTTTGGCCACAGTTGTTAAGCGAATTGCTGCAGTTATTAAGTTAGCAACCTTCTCCTTGTCAGAAGGTCACAAAAGGTGATCATATGACCCTGGGACACTGCAACTATCTTAAATATGAGTCAGTTGCCAAGCATCTGAATTTTGATCATGTGAACATGGGGATGCTGCAACAGTCATAAGTGTAAAAAATGGTTGTAAGTCACTTTTTTTTAGTACTATTGTAACTTCGGTCACTGAATGGTTGTAAGTTAAGGACTACCTGTATTTGACCCTAATCTAAATGTAGTAAATATGTGGTACATATTTTTTTCTCTTAAAAACTAGCTTGCTTAGGCCAAGGATATTTAAAACAAAAACAAAAACTGAAAAATAGGCAGTAAAAATTACCTACTGGGTTTAAATGTTGTACTGTTTTATTAAAGTGCTGCTGACTTTCTTGAATGTCAAATGTATAAAAACAGGATGGAAATGACATTTAAAAAATTTAAAATATAGTTCTATCTTCTCTGGGATGCTCTTCCGTATTAGCTTGCTAATTACTTTAACCAGCTAAAAGAAGAAAATATTTTTTAACTGATTATGATAGTTGTTTGTTTTTTTCAGTATGATATCAGGCAGAAGGCTCTGAAGCTTACAGCTAATAGTATGTATGGATGCCTGGGATTTTCCTACAGTAGATTTTATGCAAAACCCCTTGCTGCTTTGGTGACTTTCAAAGGTAGAGAGGTAAGTCAGCAATGATCAGTACTGTGATTATTTTGTGGGTGGTAGTGGTGGATAGGATGGTAGATTTATCTATTTTTCTCTATTTTTTTTCTTCAGTTATTCAGTTATTGCCTACTCACCAAACACACCTGGGTGACTATTAACGATTAATAAACTATGATAAAAGAAAAATAAATAAAACACAGAGCACCAGAAACAGCTCTCATACTGTTTTAGTACTTTTGGGAAGAATAAGATCTTCAAGGCCTCCCTAAAAGCTGGCAGGATTGTAGAACTGTGAGCAATAAAACTGGTGGCAGGCCTCCAAATATTAAGTAATATCGATTTGAAAATCTTTTTTATCAATTCAATTTGAATTAATTTTATATTCCTGTAAATTAAGAAATAGGCAAAATTTGTTGCAGAAGGATTTCGTGAGAATATGTGACAAAAATATAAAATGCTACTTATTTGGTATTAAGGCTAGCAAAAAAATATTGCTGTTTACTGTAGTTTAAGAATGGGCTTGAGCAGTGAAACTGTTTGATGTGAAATTCTGAATGACAAAAGGAAGTATTTCACCAGTATACTATATAATTAACAAATGACATTTTCTGTTATCTGATATGGCAGACCACTAATCTAAATACATTAGGACTAGAGCAAAGATTGTAGTTAAGAACAACAGCCTTAAAATTTTTCTATAGCCATGGTATCTTCTAGACCAGAGGTGTCAAACTGCTGGCCTGCGGGCCGGATGCGTCATGCCGAAACCACGCCTACCCCATTCCAGTCCTAGAGTACAGTAAATGGCTGTCACATCATTAACTAGGTATTAATCCTCTCAGAAAAGAATGTAGAGTTCTGACTCCTTATGGATTTATGTTTTATTTGTTTGTTTGACTAGAAAAGTGGGCTAGGAGAGGGTTTAGCCCTCTTCATCCAATGTGATAGCTCTGTCCTCAATCAACTTGTTTTTTGTTTAATTAAAACAAAACAGAAAGTTCAAAGATTGTTGGAGTGCTGGGGAGGAACAATGAATTATTATTGGAACAATTTTTTCATTAAAAAAATTAAGAGACAGATTTGACATCAGAACTTAACAAAAAGAGAAAGTAGTCTCAGAACATTTCAGGAATAATCTATGGCAAACTCAACATAACTTCTTTAGAAAAAGGGACTTTTAACTATTCAGTGGTCTCTTCCATCAGAACATATGATGTCATGTATTTTTATAGAGGGAGTAAATAAATATTTCTGAATACAAAATTCTAAGTCAAGCACTGTCTTACTCAAGAGTAACTGCTTCAGTTCTCTAAAAACCAACTGAACCTTCTTTTTTAAATATATTGTTTATAATATTTATAGTAGATCTGATTAACATTAGTCATATTTTAGTTCAAGTTTTTTAGACCAAAATGGAAACTTTTTTGAATTTGTATTTTGGAGCATTTAATTGATTAATTGATTTCTGTGCATTGAACTTATTTCTAATAATGGCACATCATTTGGTTTTGTCAAGAATGCTAAGTAAGTATTTTAATAAATGACATTTTAGCCATAGGAAGTGGATATAAGAAGAAATGCTTATTTCTCAGATGGAGCCTGACTAGGATAAACAGTGTTCTCAAATATATTACTGATAAGGGTGGAACTTATTAAGTTTGTGGATATTTGTAAGGAGGTATCAGTACAACCTTGACTTGCTTTACAAAGCATATGTAAACTATAACTGACATTTAATTTTGTAGAAAATAATAGCTTAATAGATCTAGTGAAACTAGATTATTTAAATATATGTAATTATTAATTATAATTATTATATAATATCATTGCCATCAGGAATTTTTTCTGAGCTTAATGCTGAGTTTTCTTTATTTTTTCTTTTCTATTTTTTGAAATGTTTTCTGCTGCAAAAAATGAAAAATATAAATAATCATAATATAAATTAATCAAATAGACAATGTATATTGTAGATATTAACAGAAAATCTCAAAATGGTAATTTGATAGTAGTATAATAATCACTTTTTCACTAGATGGCGATAGAGTTCTTGTGTTCATTAAAAAATTAAAGATACTATAAAAGTTTACTTTAAATTATATTTAATTTTAAACATTTGTGCAGATTCACACTTTTCCTGCATAATTGTGGAGTAACTATAAAAATAAACAGTATTATTTTTTAATTCAGTGGAAGACAACTTGGTAAATTCAACTAATAGATTAAAGAAACATAAGAACTGTGAGAATCTTATTTTTCACATATTAATATTTTAGATAATTTTGATGTTTAGTTCTCTGAAATAGCAGAAGTTCTATATATTTCTAGCTGGTATCATTTGTGACTCTAGGGAGCATTCAGTTTCCTAAGGCCGAGTATTCAGTCATAGAAATGGATAAAAAATGACTGACAATACTTCGTTATGAAAACTAATTCCACAGAGTTTTGCAAAATATGGAGTCATTTGAAATAAAGCTTCTTACTTTTGGTGAGCTGCTGTTTATATATTTGGTGCCGCACATTTAGATTTTTCCAACTGACGCTTTAAGAGTATTAAGTAATATACTTGTTTTACTTAAATCCTACCATTTAATAGCATGAGCTGTGGTTTCTTTGATATATATTGAATATCCAGAGGATTTGAATACAGCATTTAAAAAACTACAACATCTACCTGGTAAGAATAAACATATTAAGACACTTTCTATTCAGAATCACCCTATTATAGGATGCATCCAGTGGTGGGATTCAGCCAGTTCACACCACTTCGGCAGAACCGGTAGCTAATTTTTTGTTGCCCAGGCCCAGAATGGACTTCCAGAAGTGGCATCCACACAGAGAATCGGTTGTTCACATATTTGAATCCCACCACTGGATACATCCCAGCTGGAGAAGGAATGGAGGGTTTATTTCTGTTACTTGTGATTCTTAACAGGTTTTCCTTAAATTAAGGCCTGTCCAAATTAAAGATACAATTTTAACTAAAACTGACATCTGGAAAGGGTTAGAATAAGGCTCTAGTCATTATTTACTGCCTGCAATGTTGAAGAAGAGGCAGAATATCAGAAGGTGAGGTACTATTTTCATCCAATTCTGGTCAAATTGGGAAGATGCCATTATCTGGCACTTTCCTGTGCCTCAGATAGACGGTGTGGAGTCCCTCCTTGTGAAATGGGGGCAAGGGGTTCAAGTGGGCTTGTTGATTATATACCTGGCTCCCTGCTATGTATCAACGGCCCTGCCTGAGCTGGCTGACGTGATAGCCGGGGTGGCGGTTGGAACCCCCAGACTTATGGTCTTGGGGGATTTCAACCTTCCATCAGCGGGCGA